ACAACCAGGCCAGTGTATCAACACCCTTACAGAGTTTCGCCGAAAGAACGAGAGGTTATAAAGAGCCAGGTGCAGGAGATGTTGCAGGATGATGTCATTCAGCCATCTAGCAGCCCGTGGGCATCGCCGGTAGTTCTCGTGAGAAAAAAAGACAACACGTTGAGATTCTGTGTAGACTACCGGAAACTAAACAGCGTAGCCAAGCGGGATGTATACCCCTTACCACGTATTGATGACACATTGGATCGGCTACGGCACGCCAGATATTTCTCTTCGCTCGACTTAAAAAGCGGATATTGGCAAATCGAAGTGGATGAAAGAGACCGTGAAAAGACCGCTTTCGTAACCCTGGATGGCTTGTACGAGTTTGAAACACTACCTTTCGGCCTCTGTTGTGCGCCAGCGACATTCCAGCGCATGATAGACAGTGTCCTCACGGGGCTGAAGTGGCAGTTATGTCTAGTCTACTTGGACGATGTTGTGGTATTTTCTGCGACGTTTGACCAACACGTAGAGAGACTGCGGTCAGTGCTTCAGGCTATCCAGTCGGCCGGCTTGACAATCAAACCAGAAAAGTGCCAGTTCGGCTCCGACAAGCTTCGTTTTCTGGGACACGTAATCAGCGTGGAAGGTGTTGGCCCTGATCCTGACAAGATGATTTGATTGATTTGTCGGGTTTAACGTCCCAAAACCATCATATGATTATGAGAGACGCCGTAGTGGAGGGCTCCGGAAATTTCGACCACCTGGGGTTCTTTAACGTGTGCCCAGATCTGAGCACACGGCCTGACAAGACTGCGGCTGTCGCAGGATTCCGAAAGCCCAGATACAAGAAAGAGGTGCGTCGATTTTAGGGCTTATGCGCCTACTACAGACGATTTGTAGAAAATTTCTCGAAAATCGCCGAACCTCTAAACAAACTCACAAAAGACGAAGAATCGTCCGCTTGCGGTGCAGAACAAGAAACAGCTTTCAACAAATTAAAGCAACGTTTGCAAAGCCCGCCGATCCTTGCCCACTTCAACGAGGCCGCTGACACGGAACTCCATACAGACGCAAGCAATATTGGTCTCGGCGCAGTGCTCGTACAATGGCAAAATGGAGAAGAAAAAGTGATAGCTTATGCCAGCCGAACCCTCTCAAAAGCCGACAAAAACTATTCCGCGACAGAAAAAGAGTGTTTGGCAGTGGTATGGGCTATCAGCAAGTTCAGACCATACCTCTACGGAAGGCCGTTCCGTGCCGTCAGCGACCACCACTCACTTTGCTGGCTGGCGAACTTAAAAGACCCGTAAGAACGTCTTGCCAGATGGAGCCTCCGACTGCGAGAATACGACATTACTGTTGTATACCAGTCTGGGCGAAAACACAATGATGCCGATTCCTTATCACGCTCGCCATTTGACTCTACTCCTTCAGAAGAAGACGACTCGACACTTTTCTGTGTGATGGAAGCCTCAGATATTGCGGAGCATCAACGAGCTGACGTAGAACTGCTCCCATTTATCGAACACCTCGAAGGGCGTGCCGGCCAGGTCCCACGTGTATTTAAGAGAACATTATCTTCATTCTGTCTCCGTGAAAATGTGCTATACAAAAGGAACTTCGGGCATAACAAAGATAAGTTCTTACTCGTCGTTCCGTTAGCAATGAGACCCAAAATCCTAGAAGCTTGTCATGATGAACCATCGTGTGGTCACTTGGGCGTCAGCCGGACATTTGCCAGAATTCATCAGAAGTATTACTGGCCCAAGCTGCTGGCGTCCGTGCAGCAATATGTGAAGACATGTCGCGAATGTCAAAGGCGCAAAAGACCACCACTGAAGACGGCCGGCCTGCTCCAGCCCATAGAACCGCCTGCTTCACCATTTGAACAAGTTGGAATGGATCGTCTTGGACCCTTTCCAATGTCATCATCGGGTAAGAGGTGGACCGTAGTCGCCACCAACTACTTAACGCGGTATGCTGAAACCGGCTGCCTTGAGCGAGGAACGGCAGCTGAAGTAGCCAAGTTTTTCGTGCACAGCATAGTTCTTCGACATGGCGCCCCAAAGGTAGTAATCACCGACCAAGGAGCAGCCTTAACGTAAGAGTTCATGCAATGTTTGATGATAATGACGAACACCAGCCATAGGAAAAGCACTGCGTACCATCCCCAAACGAATGGGTTAACGGAACGCCTAAATCACACGATCGCTGACATGCTATCGATGTACGTGGACTTGGAGCATAAAACGTGGGATAAAATCCTGCCTTACGCAACGTTCGCCTATAATACGGCCCTCCAAGAGACCACCCGTGTCACCCCATTTCAGCTTGTCTATGGTCACATAGTCAATTCAACTCTCGACGCCATGCCTCCAGTCGACAATGACCACTACGAGCCATCTGGCATTGACGAATTTCTGCAAAAAGCTGAAGAAGCACACCAGTTGGCAAGGCACCGAATACGTCAACAACAGTTCAAGGATGCGGACTACTACAAGCTGCGCTGCAGGGGAGTCAAGTACCAGCCAGGTGATCAAGTATGGATCTGGACACCAATACGACGCCGCGGCCTGTCAGAAAAGCTCCTTTGACGGTACTTTGGTTCATACAAGGTCCTTCGCCGGCTAAGTGACCTAACTTATGAAGTAATCCCTGACGGACAAGAGCGCTCGAAAAGGCAAAACCATGCGGAGGTCGTCCACGTTGTCCGCATGAAGCCATACCACGAAAAAGAATGAAACATCTACCCCCTAGACTATTAACCTTCCGAATTCACGCATCGAGACGAGGCGCATTTCGGAGGGGGAGTAATGCCACAGAGATTGCTCCTACTAATCATTTTACAAAGAGGGCCAACGGGACGTTATATGAGCGTCTACAGTGCCTCGCAACTAACGAGGCGCTATGTGAGCGTCTACAGTGCCTCGCAACCAACGAGACGCTATGTGGGCGTCTGCAGTGCCTTGCAACCAACGAGACGCTATGTGGGCGTGTACTGTGCCTCGCGCCTGCTCACGCATCTTGGGCAGAGCAGCGCATGCCTCTGGTGTGCGAGCCCGAGCCGGGAAGACTGACGGAGTAGTTGTTTAGAAAAGGACACGTAGGCGGAACGCTTTTAGCAGACTCTTTCTTGTGACATAACTACTTTTCTAGGCACAAGTTCGTCCTCAATAAATCATTGTGTGTGTTCCCCCTCTTGTATTACGTGACAATATATCAATCAAGTGAAGAAACGACTTCGAGATGCCCAATGCCCAGTCAAGGGCTTCGTGACTGACATTACACAATGAGATTCATAAAAAGCGCAGTACATGCACGAGCTGAATGATGATGAGTAGGGCGAAGCGTCCATCAGTCCGTCCGCGCTACTGTCTGTCTCTTCGTTTACGTCCGTCCATACGTTATTCCGTGCGTCCGTCCATACGTTATTCCGTGCGTTCATCCATGCGTCCGTCCGTCCATTCGTACGTTTGTTCGTACGTCCATTCCTGTGTTAGTCCGTGCGTGCGTTCATCTATGGAACACTCCAAGTTCCGCCATCTCGCATCTGTTTATAACATCTGTATCGATTTATTCCACCAACAATTATCACTTAGTGGTGAATCCTAGAACGAGGTGGCTACGTACTACGCACTACATACATCGGCGACGACCGACCCACGCTTTAAAACACTAAAGGCAACTATTAGGTCGATGTTGGTTGTTGAAGTAGCGGCTCAGAGACTTCGTAGTGTTACTTTTGTGCCGAAGAAGGGTTTATATAAAATCAAGTTTTTGTTGCCCGCATTGGATTAGCGCACTTCAATTTACCCGCCTCATGAAGCGGACCGACTCACGTCATTGTTGTCGTGCACAACGTTGCCCGGCTTTACTGCGTGGTCGCCGATACTAATAGACAGAACAAAAGCAGCGAAACCCACTGCAGGAACAACGGCCATTGATTGATTTCCTACCATTGGCTCCAAGATAGCAGCCGTGTTTTGGTTCAACTGCGCCCCGCTTGATGACAGTACCTGTCGAGTGTATTCCCGCGAAAATTGAATTTTTGAACCACTCGCGCTATTCCCCATAGCAACGACCAATAGTCTTTTTTTTTTCATAAATCAAACGGAAACGAACAAGTAGCATTTTATTGTGTCTCTTCATGCGTGGGTGGTTCTTTATTTAGTGCATGTAGATTGATTACTAGTGAATAACTCTAGGCTATTCGCCTGACGACATGGGTATCATTTTGAAAATGTCCTACTGCGGTGCATGTATTATTATGCATTTGCCTTAAGTTCTCGGTAAGTAGGGCACTGCTGTTGATAATATTGTCGTATTAGATCCTTTCATACATTGAGCTTTCACTCTGACGTAAATTCCTATTTGACTTTAGCGTCCCTTTAAGGAGCTTCGCCCCTAAATGTACTCAATATAGTCACCATGCACCAGCGACTTTCCATGATATACAGTTAAATAAACATCCAGGGGAGCATGCATAGATAGATAGATAGATAGATAGATAGATAGATAGATAGATAGATAGATAGATAGATAGATAGATAGATAGATAGATAGATAGATAGATAGATAGATAGATAGATAGATAGATAGATAGATAGATAGATAGATAGATAGATAGATAGATAGATAGATAGATAGATAGATAGATAGATAGATAGATAGATAGATAGATAGATAGATAGATAGATAGATAGATAGATAGATAGATAGATAGATAGATAGATAGATAGATAGATAGATCTCCTGATTAATCCTTGCCATCACCGTCACGCTCACTATGAAGTCCCAATTCATAAGATCACCCAGCAAGCGCTTTGTACGCGCTTGCTGGGCGATCTTTCTTTTTATAACTTTCTTTTGTTTTCCTCACTGTCTCCATCTTGCTAGCATCACACGCCTTGGTATGTGACGAACCTAATCACGACATATCTGGCGTTCGTGAGACAGGACTACTCTTGTTACATCTAAGAAGAGCATCACATCGCATATGTGTGTGACGGTCGATGATGGAGGCAGATAAGCTGACGGCGATCAGAAAGGAATTGGGGTTAAATGGTTCAGCACTAAAAGATTGCATGGACCAAGAACGCGCACGCGAAAAAGAGGCACGTGACGCTCGTCTGGCTGAAAGAAATGCTGCGAAAGAAGCCGAAGCAGAAGCAGTCGCTAGATTAAAAGCAGAGAAGGAAGTTCTTGAGCTTAAGTTAATGTTGCATCAGTTAAGCGTGACAGCAGGTAGCACAACTACTGGGCAGCTTACCGAGGGTGCGACCGTAGGCACCACGCAGAGCTACCAAAGTCCACATAAACTCATCCCAGCCTTTCACGAGGAACGCGATAAGCTGGACGCATATATACAGCGATTTGAGCGCGTCGCTACTTGTCAAGACTGGCCGCAAGACAAATGGGCCCCATCACTAAGCCTTTGCTTGGCCGGAGAAGCCTTGAGTGTTGTTGGTAGGATGGCACCTGAACATGCTACAGACTACGTAACGTTGAAGAAAACACTACAACAACGCTTTAGGTTCACGGAAGAAGGCTATCGCAAGAAATTTCTATCCGGAAAACCAGATAATTTTGAAACAGGCACGCAGTTTGCCGGGCGTCTATTAGGTTATTTTGACCATTGGCAAGAAATGGCAAAAACAGACCGGACCTACGATGCTCTGCGAGACAAAATTGTCTCGGAGCAGTTTCTCGCACAATGCCATGAAAAACTCGCTGTGTTTCTTAAAGAAACTGTGAAAGCCTTGAAAAACTTGCGGAGGCTAAAGACTACTACTTGGAAGCCCAGGGTTTGATTAACCTTAGCAAATGTAAAGGCGATATCCTGAGCAAGTCCCCAGGTCAAACTCGAACGTCTGAGCGGCAAGACAATAAAGAGAGACCATAGTGCTTCCTTTGCAACAAATAGGGTCACAGAGCTGCTGGTTACTGGACCAACACAGAGGGTCCAGGTACAAAGCAACTCTTTTGTGGAAAATGTCGCCGAACTGGACATAGAACAGGTGACTGCTTCAAAAAGGCCAACAGCGTTGAGAACACCTCATGCTCTTTTCAACAAAAATATGCAGCCAAGATAAGTAATTCAGAGTCGCAGGCTTCTCTTTGTGTTCCTTGAACGCACCCAGCCAAGCTGAAGGAAAAATCGGTGCCCATGGGCGAAGGTGTACTCGAAGGAAATCCCGCAATAGTACTGCGAGATACAGGATGCGATTCAATCATTGTCAAAAGGTCTCTTGTGGCGGATAGCAAGCTGACTGGAAAGATTTTCTCGATTTGCCTCTTGGATGAACGGTTGATGAAGCTGCCTGAAGCACACGTGGAATTTTTTCCACCTTTGTTCACTGGCAAAACTCGAGCCCTTTGTATGGATACTCCTTTATATGATGTCTTGGGAGATGTGGAAGGCGTTCGAGATGCTCACAATCCTGATAACGATTGGAAGAGCTGTCTTTACACTCGGAACACTGCAGAAGAGTATTCTGGCTGAGAAAATTCTAGTTCTGCGCATGGACCCTTGTATGCAAACACTTCGACGTCGGCTGCAAGGAAAACACGTTTTAAAACAAAAGTTGCTGCAGTAAACCGACAGGCAGGAAATCGACATCTACTCCCGGCTCCAGTTATTAACCCCTTGGACATCACCTCACAGGACTTCAAAATCAAACAGGAGGAAGACAGCAGTCTGCGGAAATGCTTCGAAGTCGTTAACAAAGAGGTCAAGACAAGGTTTGCTAAAATATTGTTCTTCATGAAGGACGGAATCCTCTATCGCAAGTGCACTCTTCACTCTACGAGGCAGGTGGATCAGCTTGTCGTACCAAGGTGCCTCCAAAATTTTGTGATGACAATGTCCCACGAAGGCATCCTTTCGGGCAATCAGGGAATTAAACGAACCACAGACCGGGTACTCGATGAGTTTTACTGGCCACGGGTTCAGTCAGACATCACACGATTTGTTAAATCGTGTGAAATATGTCAAAGAACTATTCCCAAGCACTTGATGGGTCATGTACCTTTCGGCAACACTCCTATAATTGACACCCCGTTCAAGAGAATAGCCATTGATATTGTGGGTCCATTATCACCGATGTCAGAGGGCGGAAACAAGTACGTACTGGCAATGGTGGGAATGGCAATGCGTTATCCCGATGCTGTAGCGATGCCGAGCATCGAGAGGGAAAAAGTCGCTGAGGCGCTTCTGGAGATGTTCTCTCTGGTAGGAGTCCCACGCGAGATCATCAGTGACAGAGGCACCTCATTCTCGTCACGCCCAATGAAGGAGCTTAGTCGACTTCTCTCCTTCAAACAATTTCCAACAACTCCATATCATCCCATGGCTAATGGGCTTGTAGAGAGGTTCAACGGCACCCTGAAACAAATGATAAGAAGAATGTGTCAGGAGAGTCCGAAGAAATGGGACCGGTACCTAGCGTCCTTACTCTTCGCTTATCGCTATGTTCCCCAGTCGAGCTTAGGTTTATCCCCGTTCGACTTGCTCTACGGCCGTTGCGTCAGAGGTCCTTTGGCAATAATGAAAGAATTGTGGGCCACTGACGATGATGTAAAAACATCCTACGGGTACGTAGTCTCACTGCGGAATCATTTTGAAGACACCTGCCGATGAGCCAAGGAGGAGCTTCAGAGAGCGAAAATGATACAGAAGAAGCATTGTGACCGAAAGACCAGACCACGTCAATTACCTGGAGACAAGGTTCTCCTACTGCTTCCACCGGATACTAACAAATCGGTTCTAACGTGGAAGGGACCCTTTAATGTTCTTGAGAGGAAAAATGATGTCAATTATTTAATCGACCTCGGTACCAGAAGCCCGCTATTTTATATAAACCTACTGAAAAAGTATGAGGAATGGTCGCCTGCACCACCGCATGAAGCATCAGTTGTTTGCCAGGCTGATGACACCGAAAGTGACGAGCTACCATACGTTCCATTCCAACAAAAGGAATACTGCACCCAGTGTCACACGCAAGCCGTAGACTGCAACCACGCGAAACTGGTTACTCTACAGTGGAGCGAGTAGCCCTGGCTCTTACGTGGGTGGTCCGGAAACTTCATATCTTCTTATTCGGACGCACATTCATTCTACAGAGTGCCCACAAACCGCTTATGTACATCAAGTCAGCCAAGCATGTGAACAGCCGCGTGTTACGGTGGAGCGTCATTATTATAAAGTACGACTTTTCGGTCGAGTATATAAAAGACAGCGACAATATAGGTGCAGATTACATGAGCCGTTTGCCAACTCTGTGAGCAACGTCTGCATGAAGAATCGATGCTCAATGGTATTAATAGCTTGTGATTGAACTTTACAGCTCGATACAAGTATCATGACGCTTTAATTCCGTGACTTCTTTTTTTTTCTGGTGTGCACTTTTGTGACCGAGTGTGCCGAGTGTGAGCTAGGAACTGCTATAGTGTGCAATGGTGCTTACGTGTATGTTGCCGTCTGCAAACCAACGTGTCCCCAGTGCCCTCAAGTTCTTCTACCGGACGAACTGTCTTAAGGGGGGGGGGGGTTATGTGATGTAGTAGCTTAAAAAAATGCGAGCATAGCAGACCACAGCCCCACATCACCTGGAAGATGACAAGAATGAAGAACATTGCAGCGCACCCATTGAAAAAAGAAGAGGATACGCTCGCGCAGAACGAAGCTGTTCGGACTCCGACAAGACGACGCAAGGGATCTTAGGGCGAACCCGCAACTACGAGGTTCGAAAGGCCGGGTTCCTGTTCTCGAGCCATTGACGTTCTCGGGGCACGGCGTGTCGGCGTGGCCAGGCACGAGTTCTGGATGAGTGGTCCTGCGGACATCTCCGTTACGGCGAGCGCCCTCGAAAGACTGGAGCTGCCGACCACGTCCAGCCAGCTGACGTCGCTGACAGTGTGCGGCTACGCCTAGACCTGGTGATGCCCTCTACAGTGGTATGCTGACCTGGCACACAAGCGACGACTGCATCGGAGCACGCTACGGGTCCCACTTCAAGGCACCAGTCTACGGCACAGACTGTGAGACTGTTTACTCTTTTCTTTTGTGTGTGAACCACGTGCGTGTACCACTTATAGTACAGTATGTGCAATAGTTTTTTTTTCGTCCAATATAACTTTCTTTTGTTTTCCTCACTGTCTCCATCCTCCTCGCGTCACACGCCTTGCTATGTGACGAACCTAACCACGACAGGTGGGCCAGGTGACCAGCAGGTTTTCTGCCTGATATATGCGTGTGTTTTTTCTAATAAAATTTAGCTGCGAGTTCAGCGCCTCGTCGTCTATCCTTCGGCATGTGTCTGTATATTTGCACTGTTTTTACATCCAAGCATGAATCACCAACCTAGCGAATTTTCGCTTCTAGTACGGCGCATTCATCGCATCAGGTCGCACGCGTCGATATCGGATGGATGGATGGACGGACGGACGGACGGACGGACGGACGGATGGACGGATGGATGGATGGATGAATGGATGGATGGGTGGGTGGGTGGGTGGATGGATGGATGGATGGATGGATGGATGGATGGATGGATGGATGGATGGATGGGTGGGTGGGTGGGTGGGTGGGTGGACGGACGAATGGACAGACGGACGGACGGACGGACGGACGGACGGACGGACGCGGCTGTACTTTTCAGGTCGTGTGGTGGCTAGTGCCACCAAGCCGTAATACTTAATGAACCAAAAACTAGATTTTTTTTCCTTAAAATAATGTGGTTGACGATTCGTACTTTGCATGGAGGGTTCAATTTTCACTCGTGCCTTCACTTTAACCGCCAATCAGATAACCTTCTTCTAGTTAATTCTACCAGCTTAACGTCTATTTTGCCCTCCTTGTCCCTAAATCCCAGTGCTTTGAAAAACTCTGCGCCATCATTCTGAACTATAGGGTGAAGCCCTTTACAGAACATTATCAAGTGTTCGGTAGTTTCTTCTTCCTCTCCACACGCACTGCATACCGTGTCTACCCCTTCGTATTTGGCCCGATATGTCTTGGTTCGCAATACTCCCGTCCTGGCCTCAAACAGTAGAGAACTACACCGAGTATTATCATAGATCCTTTCCTTGGCAATTTCCTGCTTAAAAGTTCGATAGATCTCTAGTGCGGACTTCTTAATCATGCCAATTCTCCACATATCAGTCTCAGCTTCCTTTACCTTCTTCTTAACCGATAACTCTTTTTGTTTTGGCTCCTGCTGTTTTCTAAGTATTTACCAGTAAATTTTCTGGTTCACTTGCTCCATTTTGAATCGACATTCTTAATGTACAAGTTGCTGAATACCTTCCTGGCCCAACGCTCCTCCCCCATTTCTCTCAATCGCTTCACAAATTTTATCTTGCTGCTAGCTTCCCCGCCCTCAAATGATGTCCATTCCATATCACCTTGTAGTCCCTGATTTGGTGTATTCCCGTGAGCTCCCAAGGCAAGCCTGCCTATTCCACGTTGCTTAATTTCTAATCTTGCTTGAACTTGAGGGCACAGTTTCTAGCGCCATCTCTCGGACTCCTTGCGAAGCAGAACATTATCGGTCACCGAATAGTAGTTTTATAGATATTCTTTAAAAGATTAGCGACGACATCTTCCACGCCTAGTGTGTCCAGTATTCCCCACAATTCTTCTTGAACCACGCTATCGTACGCTCCCTTGATATCTCAAAATGCTAGCCACAGGGGCCTGTGTTCCTTTTCTGCTATCTCGATGCACTGCGTCAGTGGGAACAGATTGTCTTCCAACCTCCTGTGTTTCCGAAACCTGTTCTGCAGTTCCCCCAACACCCCCTCGTTCTCTATCTATGCCTGCAGTCTTTCATTTTTAATCTGCATCGCCAGCCTGTAGACCACTGATGTCACTGTTATAGGACGGTAGTTGTTTATGTCAGCTTTGTCCCCCTTTCCTTTATGAATCATGCTCATCCTGCTAAGTTTCCATCCACCGGGAACTTCTCCATCGATTAATATTTTGCTCACTGCCTCTCTCAAAGCTTGCTTAGACTTCGGAACTAATGTCTTTATCAGCATAATTGGAATTTCATCTGGGCCTGTTGATGTACTACTAGAAACCCTTTTCTTAGCCCTTTACCGCTCTCGTTTTGAAAATGGAGCAATTGCGCCACTTGATTCATCCTTGTCTATTGTGGTGCATAAAGCACTTATTTATTGAAATTTTCTGTCACCCTTGTTCTTATATATTCAATAGCTTCGTCCCCTTCTAGCCTAGCACCTTGTGCTGTAGTTATAAACCTCTGCTCTAGGCTCGTCTCATTTCTTAGAGAGTTTAGATGGTTCCAAAATTTCGCAGCACCCTTTCTATCTTTGTTATGTACTTCTCCCAGCCACTGAGCTCGCTTTCTTTTAATCTTTTCATTGATCAGATGGAATGCATCCCTTCTACAGCTTAGAAAGATTTCCCATTTTCTTTCAACATCATCTGTCGGTTCACCCCGCTGCTTAGCATGTCTGTGTTTCCTAGAGGCTTCCTGACGTTTTGCTATGGCTCTCTTAACTTCCTCATCCCACCAACTTTTGGGTTTCTGTCTTCTTTTCCGGGGTGACTTGTCACGTGCCTTAGCAAGCTCTAGCTCAAACAGTCTAATTAGATTCGTGTATGTCCACACTTGTTTTATTATCCTCAGTGATTACTTTCTCAATTTCTTTAGTGGTTATTTCAATTCCCCTTTCAGAATAAAAATTTTTCTGTAGTTGCTCATCTTGTCTCCTTCCCACTTTCACTAATTTTCCATAACTTAGCTTGATACGTTTGTGATCACTACCCAGACTTTCGGAGCCACCTTCCTCTATGTGCATTCCCCTGAGCTTATCATACATCCTATGTGACATCAGTGCGTAATCTAACGTCGACTGCTGCCCTCCTACCTCCCCAGTCACGTTAGGCCAGCGCCTCCTGCCTCGGCGAGTAGCTGTCTTCACAGCTCGGAGTTTTCCGGTTGACGCGTTCACAATTTTGTCACTGTTCGTTCCTGAACTTATGCCTTTTCGTTGACGCACGTGTACTTTTTTGCCCTGTACACTGTTTGACTTACATCAAAAACGTCTCTACTCACAAGCATTGATTTAAATGACCTTGGATGCGGATCTCTGTACATTGGAAAGCGTTTCTCTCCGTGTCGCAGTAGTCCAGGATGCTTCTGGTCTACACTCACATGTGATCTATAATCACTTCGAGCAAACTCAGTATGGTCTGGCCATTGATCAGTCTCGTGAAAACCACGGCCGAACTTTCTAAACGCGCCCCACGAGTCGCCATTCTGCCGACAGCCGTTTCCGCTCGCAGTGCATTGTGGTCTAACGCCAGCGCGTGGAGCGCGTGAAAAGGAACATGCTCAATCTCGGTGCCGGCTTGGCCAAGCACGCCTAACTCCGCCGGGCGCACCGGCTACGCTGTGACGCCAGACTACAAGTTCTCCACCTTTTCCCGACGTTGCTTAAACATGTCGTGCGTGGTCGCGCGTACGCGCTGCGCCGAATTACATCTGACCCTGTGTGTTGGCCCACACAGCGGGTCCAATTCATGGTGCTCGCTGACTGGGTGCTTGTGCGCCGCAATATTTTACGACGCACGCTGTTGTTGTATCGTGCTTTGTTGCTAGAATACTTCCAGAACAAGTTCAGAAGACGGCGCCGTTCTTCAAAAAAAAAACGACAGGTGAGCATGCCCTGCCGTTTCAAAAGCGTTTTACGTTGTGAAATTTAATTCACGTCCACACAGAGGGTCAACTGTCAGAGATTTCAGGAATGTGTGATTTGGGAAGGGCGCGATGCTCATGTACATTTCCATATGAAGAAGCAATGAACACATATCCCGTACGACGTAACTATAATTACAGGTTTACAAACTCATGGAGACGCGTACTTAATTGTGTGTTTTGCCTTTGTATCCGCCTAATGAAGCGTCATCGCCTATAACCGCGTTTTTGAGGCTCTAGGTAGATGTATAAAAACTTGACGTGAGAGGAGAAATGGCAGAGAAGGAAAAGCAGAGAGGTTAACCATTACAGGAAAGCCGGTTTGCTACCCTACACGTGAAGATGTAGAATGGAAAACCGAATGAGGGAGAAGAAAAGTGACAAGAAAGAAAGATAGCACATAACAGCACAAACACAAATGTGCAGCCGGTTGCATATCCATCACGCTCGCGTGGTACGCGACCTATCGCTGTCACAGGCGCTTGTACGAGTCAGTTTTTCTTAGAAACTTCAGGAGTGCATTGGTCGCTTTCAGCTGCGTTGTCCTCTGTGGACTAC